TTAGATATATATATATATATATATATATATATATATATATATATATATATATATATATATATATATATATATATAGGTGCATCTCAATAAATTAGAATGGCTGCAATTTAATTAAGTAAATGTCATGCAGCACATTTAATTATGATTATAAACTCATACAACATACACACATTATATATATATATATACACACACTCTCACACTATAAATTATTATTATTTATAATAATGATGATGCTTATGATGGTGATTATTATTATTATTATTAAATGTGAATGTGTCATTTAAAACTCAGGTGGTTCTTTAAGTAAATATTTTATGTCTAAGGGTCTATGTTGCTAAAAAGTTTGTGAACCCCTGTTGTAGAAAGTTATTTCAACTTTTTTTCCCTTTTTTTTTTATAAAAAGCAAAAATAATAAATACATAATTTAATAAAATAAGACAAGTAGTTGCCCATCTAAAGGAAGATTTAGAAACAGCTCTAAATAAATACATAAATATAATAATTTTTGCAATGAAACTGCCTTGATGTAGTCACTTTTTAAGTAACAAATAATAAATACTAATGCTCATCAAATCAGTCATTATATTATTAGCAAATTGACAAATGCTGTCTGTAGAGCTTTGTTTGTGTCAAACCTGTAACTTTCCTTTAAACACAATCACACTTGCTCTCTAATAGTCTGTTATGAGGTTTGTATTTTTGCCTGCTTATGTGCACATATGCCTCATACTTACTGGTACATTTAGTTTCTTTTGTTACTTTTTTTGCTTTTTTTGTTTATTCTCTGCCATCCACCCCTGCTTTGTGCTTATTTTTACTGCCCACATAATGGTTCTTTCTCACATGCAATCAGTCCTGCAGCTGTAGGGCGGCCGGTCGCTTATTGCTCATAATTGGTGGCTGTCAGCTGTAGCATGTATGTGTGTTTTTCAGGGTTTGAATGCATGACCCTCACTGTGTGCAATGGCAAGAAATAAAAAAAAAAGCAATAAAGCATGCAGTGCTTTTGCTCCTCACAGCATATGGGCACCTTATGGTGTCCAGCAGGTAGAATAGATTTTGTTGTTTAATATTTCATAACTCATATCTGTCATTTCTGATCCCCAATTAGCTTCTGAATTTGGCAGGGAGTCAGATTAAATTATTCTGTGCAACAAATTGTTTTACCGGTCAGTATGAATGCGCAATGACAAAATGATCAATATAATGGTTCCTCTTCAGAAGATTTAAATGTCTAATGTTTTTAATAGCTTTTTTTATTATAATCTTTCCCAATTAGAATGTGATATTTCCTGGAGCTGGAGATGAAGGCATTCTGGAATACAAATCGGTCATTTACTACCAGGTCAAACAGCCTCGCTGGTTTGAAACCATCAAGGTGAGTGTCACTTATACGATCATATCCTACGTTGGAACAATTGTATTCTGGGAAAGTTTAGATGTGCTGTTTCTTCCCGAGTGTATCCCTGTGTCCCAATGTGCATACTTGGAGCCGATCCTCCCTGTATGCAAAATATGTAAGCGGCGTAGGGCCTCCGAAACACCAGGGGGCCCCCTTGCTCTCAAAGAGGATTTCATTTTAGTTTAGTTTTTGAATTTGGCCAGCAGTTATGAAAATATGAATGATCATTTCTTTTAATGCGGTGCGCTGCTGCCCTTTCTACTTTCTATGTAAAACTCAGTCAAATCATGTAATGTGAATGTCGTACAGTCTCTCACGAGACTAAAAAAACGAGTTGAAAGCTATTCGATATGGAGTGAAACAGACAAATGCGTTTCATTAATTCGAACCACTTTTTAATCTTTTGTTTTAATATTTTATTTAATTTTATGCTAATATTGGAATTTTTAGTAGCTTTTGTGGGGTATTTTTTAATGCACTAAAAATACCATATATTAACATAAAAAAATAATCGAGCCTCAAAGGGGGAAAAATGCATGATTTGACCCTTTTAAATATTTAATAACCTAAAAGAGCATTACACGGTTGAAACTGTTTAAACCGTTTAAATGAATAATAAAGTTCAGCGTAAAGGTCACAAGGACTGCACCTTGCTTAAGTGTCTATTTGGATCCATATTTATGTCCTTTATTAATATTCAAGACCTTTAAGGTATTTTCCAGTCCTAGTTCCTTTCTAAGGTCATCTCATCTGCGTTAACTTCATCTTTTTTTGTGATATTCTGTGTTGCAGGTTGCGATCCCGATTGAAGATGTCAACAGGAGTCACCTGCGGTTCACCTTCAAGCACCGATCGTCTCAGGACTGTGAGTTGAGCACACGTTCACACAGGAGAGTGCTTTCAGAGCCGTTTAACCCAGCAGTGGTCTGTAAACTCACTCTAGTAAATCTTAAGTGTGGTTGAGGTCGCAGCATGTGTGAGACAGCGGCATATTTCACTGGTGCCGTTGTGCATCATACCTCTTTAAATAATATCAAGCCTTCTTTATCTTTGTATCTCAGTGGGTTATTAAAATAACTTTAGTCTATGACAGAGTCATTTGTAGGGCTGCCCCCTATTAGTCGACTTATTGTTAGTCGACCAGAAGCAGCTTGGTCGACCAAAAAGTTTATTAGTCGCTTAGTCGCAGAAAAAAAAATCCACAGGCGAAGTCACACAGTTTGTGACAAACCGATCGTTAGCGACTAGTCTTTGGTAATACAGTACATCGGGCAGGACATCTAAACGCTCGCCCATCATTCATCGACCTCAAATATGGTCTTAAATACTTACTCTTAAATTACAGGTAATTTTTGATCATACAGATAAGAGTGTAATACATCTTTTAAATCTGTAAAGACTCTAAGTTTATTTGTGTGCACTTACAATACCGTGCTTTTGTAAAATAATGAAAGCAAACAGGATGCGCTTTGTCGTCTCGGTCTCTGTGAACTTGAGCGCGAAACTCCATGTATATCTTTGCCTTACAGACATAAAAATGTATATAGAGAGAGTGAAATGTCTACTTTAAATGAAACAATTCAAATGGAAAACAAATTCTCAGATTATGTAATCCATATGAAACATGCATACAGGCGCATCACTACTGCGGAGATGACGAGTCAGTGTTGCCGACTTCATCTCTGAAGCTGAAAACAAAGAAAGCACTAGTTTATCAAATTAAAATTAAAATACTAATGCAGTCTCCTTACTGTTTTTCACTGACACATTCATAATCATTACTTCTGCCGGTGTGCTGTGGCAAGCTTTATGCGTGTTCTTGAGCACTTACTAGGCTATGTAGGCAATTAAAGGCTCATTATAATGATTTAAATGGTTTATTAATAAACGTGCGATTAGTCGACTAATGATTCAAATGAACAACTACTAGTCGACCAGAAAAGTCCTTAGTTGAGGGTAGCCCTAGTCATTTGCATCTGAATGAGTTTGCGGTTATTGAATAGACTGTTAAGTGTGTATTAGTAGTGCTTGGCTTTACTGTTGCTCATATGTAGGGTTAGCTATTTGAACAAACAGCAGTGTTTTACACTTCGACAGACAATGAATTATACCTTGAATCATCCTAGTAACCACTCAGAATTCCCTAGCAACACATGAAAAACATTATGAACACATTAGCAACTGCATAGCAGCACCCTGACAACAACTTCTTTGTTCCTTACATAAACATTAATTACTATTATATTCATATTATATATATATATATTATATATATATATATTAAACAATACATTATTTTATTTTTCCAATATTAATTTTTAGGTATATGAAAACAATGCACACAAGTTATTTTGTTTTGTTTTGTTTTATTTTTTTATTTTATTCGTTTTATTTTTGTTTAGTCTTAGTTTATATTTAATTGTATTTTTTTATTTAGTATTTTATAAACAATACTAATTATAAGTATCTGAAAACCAATATGCATAACATTTTATTTTATTTCATTATTTCTTTCTTTCTTTATTTAACAACTAATACTAATTATTTTAGGTACTTCAGAATTTTAATTGGTGAATATCCTGCTTTTGTAAGACTAGTATTACACGTAATCATCAATCCAATCATTTACTTAACCCATTATACTGGCAGTATACACTCATCCAAGGCTTATTTATTGTGCAACATACCAGTGCCTAAACGACCACCCAGAACTCTCTAGCAACCACACAGCTGCACACTGTAATATTTTGAATACCTTTGCAACCCCATGAAATGCCATCGCTAACACCCAGAACACCCTAGCATTGCAGCACGAGGAAACGCCACTCATAATCCTATAACTCAAAGTTTTTTCAGACCGCAGGTCTGAAGTTGTTTTCTGGCTGTTTGTTTGTGTGTTTTGCTGAGAGGGAGTTTCTGAATCATACTGGCAGTGAACACGGGCGTGTTTGCGAAGCCTGATAGCTTGTTTATGGGCCAAGTGGTGTCTGGCGTGGGGCTGCGGTCATCACACTTATCCGAGCATGTTCAACCTTATCCTGGCAGCAGTGCCGCTCAATCTGCCCACCACATGCTGCCGTCGCAGCGCCAGGATGAGAGGGGCGGGGTCTCATTGTCGGGCACTGGTTCCAGGCACTAGGCGGAGGATGTAGATCAAATAATTTAGCACAAGCAGACAATCTGGAGCAAATAAACGTCTCATCAGCTGATCTGAGAGTAAACGCTATAACAGTATCAACGTTTCACACAGTGACTGCTGATCTCAGCACAGTTGTCTGGAAGTGCTGAAATGTCACCTTTTTTTTTAATTATTATTATTTTTTTAAATAAGTTGTCATTCTGAAGTTTATTTTTGTGTCAGATCTGGATTTTATTTTTATTTGTTGTCATTTGTTTCAGCTTCAATTCAGTTCATATTTAGTACTTTTTTGTTCATAATTAGTCCAGTTCAAATGGATTTCCATTAGAGCCCGACCGATATATCGTTTTGCCGATAATATCGGCCGATATGAGCCTGTCGCCGATATATCGGTATCGGCGAATATGCCGCCGATATGAACATTTTTTTTTACAGAACATATAATGCAGATAAAATGCTTGAAATGGTGTAATTACTTAGTTTGTCCAGCAGAGCGCGCTCCATTGTTAGCTACTGGCGACCTGGATGAAACGCTTTAAAGCTTAAGTCAATGGAAAACAATTGAAACTTTGAATGGCCATATCTCTGTAACGGCGCGGCGGATCCGCACCAAATTCGGGGGATCTCTTCAGCTCGAGGAACCCTCGTGAACGCAAATCGAGTGTACGTCTCGAGGCCCTCTTTCGAATGAGACCACCCCGGCGTGGATAGCCTCCGGGGTTCGGGAGTTACGGGTGGTTAAATTCGCGGTCCGGCGCCGAACGATCAAGCGATCCCGGGGGGCTACCGACACGTGGAGGGTGGCGTTTGATGGGGCTCCTCGCGCTGAAGGGATCCCCCGAATTTGGTGAAGATCCGCCGGCGCGTTCGTGAGATAGTGACACCAGTCAACACTTTCACTTCAGTAAGGACTTGTTCAGGCAGCATTCACGCGTTGTCTTATTCGACCATAAGTGCCCTGCGAAGTGGACTTCACATGAAATTCCGTCATGATTCCAGTTCCAAGGGAACGTACACGTTACATTCAAAGGGCATTAAAGTGCGCGAGACGTGAATTTATATTGTATTTATTTACAGAGGTAGGGGAGAGCGGGGCACAAAGTAACACTTTTTGACTTTCTCAGTTTGTGTAAATCCACATGGGGTTCAGAATATATATATTTTTAATCCACGGCAATTCTACACTTGTCTAGTACAAATATGTCGCTTTGTTTCATAATTACAGTGTATACGTTTTTCTTTATTTACCCTTAAAAAAATGGAAGTAAAATGTGACAACATGCCCCATAGGTGGAACACATTGTAACATCTGAGGGGCTGAGGGGCACTTGACCATATGACATCTGATCCAATGAAAAAAATATACAAGACAAACTAAAATATTTGGTTTATATATATATATATATATATATATATATATATAATGATTTATATATATATTTTTTTTCAAATAAAATGGCGTTTTTCAAGAATGAAAAATAATCTGATTTTGGAGTTTGACAATGAACACATTGCAACCATGCTTGGGACGGCCCACATAAACGAGCAAAAATGCTTTACATGTCTTGAAATAATAATTTCTAAACATTAAACATTGACTGTCAATCTTTATTCACTTGTTTCTCGTTGTTTCTCGTTAAAATTAATTAAAGTAAATGGTGTAAATTACATCACTAATGTCATAGAATAGCACATTGTAACGCAGTGTTACAACGTGCCCCATGATAAATAACAGTTTGGAGATTAAAATAATAGCAGATTTGTCTAATTTTAAATGAATAATAAAAACTGAGATACATTTACTTAAGTCAGAATTTAAATGTTACTATGGTAAAATAAATATTAAAACCACGTGTGTTACAACTAACACCACGTTACTTTGTGCATCGCACTCATCGCAAGTTTATTGTTAAATGCCCTTACATATCTCTGTCACCAATAAAAACTGAGATAAAAAATTTACTTAAGCCAGAATTTAAATGTTACTATGGTAAAATAATATTCAAACCATGTGTGTTACAACTAACACCCCGTTACTTTGTTCATCGCAAGTTTATTGTTAAATTGTTAAATATTTCTGTCACCATTATAAGTGTTTGATCACCACATTTGAGTGATCATTGCAAAAAATGTGTTTGTGTATATATATATATATATATATATTCTGTTTATGTATATACTGTATTCTATATATAGTACCAGTCAAATGTTTGGACACATGAATGGGAAAGTGTCCAAACTTTTGACTGGTACTGTACTATAATATCCACAAAGAATATCGGCCAATATATATATCGATATCTGCCTTTTTTACACCCTAATATCGGTATTGGTATCGGCCCCCAAAAAAACATATCGGTCGGGCTCTAGTTTCCATGGTCTTTTTGTGTTCATTGATTGAGTTCTGTTCAGTTTGTAGGGATTTCTGTGGGCATCTAAGCTTTAAGACACTGGTATTAAAATCTGTTTTCTTGTACTGATTGATGCTGACAGGCAGTCAAATGTCAGGGAGAATCAGTTGTAGGGATCTTCATCCCTGTCATACCGCACATGTCTGCCTGTCTGTCTTTCTCATATGGATTCAATTCTGAATGTAAGAAAAAAACACCAGTAAACAGCATCTCCTCCTGATTGATTGAGTCAGTCTGCATGCCGTCAGAGTCTTTCTGCAGGATGCGAACCTGCTTCCCTCATGTTCCCTTTGTCCTGGTACCGCAGTGATGATGATGGTGGTGGTCATCTCCTGACCTCTACACCTCTCTGACTGCATTGTGAGCATTGTGAGTTCAGAGGTTCAGGTGTTTGTGTGGATCTCCATAGGCTGCTGTTGACATTCCCAGTTGGGATGAAGTTCCTCAGGGATGATTTTTAATGTCAGATTCACACAGACGCTGCTGTAGCTCTTGATGAAGCACACAGGCTGTCAGAGGTGATGTCTGACTGAAATATGATTGTGTTTGATATAACTGTCAAGGTTATGAGAAGAGGAACGTGATCCTCTTCGAAGTAAGCAGATCCAAATTCAGTTAATATTTTATGCTTATTTTTATAATCTATTTTATATAATACTACAAGTGTCAATCATTCTTGTGAATAAATAAATGTATATATAATTGTATCATGTATGATTAAATGACAATAACAATTGAAATATATATAGAAATTCATATACTTTATATATTAAATTAACTTATTTAAAAAATATTTAAAATATATCATATAAATTTATATTCTGTGCAATTTACTATAATATAATGTTTGTTTACTTTAAAATTTAGATGCTATGTAAACATTTTTAAATATTTATAAAAAGCGTTGTTTGTGTCTCAAGTCATCGCTGTTCATGATACTCTTCCACTTCGTTCCTTGGTCTCAATTCAGTTTATATTCAGTTGCAGTTCAGATTCATATCCAGTTTCAGTTGCATGACTCTCTGAATGTATTGTTCTTTTTAGTGCATGTAAAGAACAAATGTTTAGAGGTCGACTATTAATAAATAATAATAAATATGCAATTTCTCTACAGGCAAGGATAAATCCGAGAAGAATTTTGCTCTGTCTTTTGTGAAGCTGATGAGGTACGACGGCACGACGCTGAGGGACGGAGAACATGATCTCATCGTCTATAAGGTGAAAAAACAAATCATCTCAAAGACTAGCACACACACACATATGTGAGCTGTATACTGATGCTGCTTGTCCTCGTTTGTCTCATTTAACCTTTGACCCCACATCACAATGTAATCATTATGCAATTAAGCTTTGTTCGTGTATTCAGTCTCTTCATATCTGCATATTAAAGAGCTTCATTAATGCGGAACTTCGCCTGGTCAAATCCTTTTTGAGCTGTGCAAATGAACCCTCATACAAACTGATCTGATATTGGTTTTACTGCTTGTGTAAAACTGGCTACATTAAAGAAAATGTAAATTTAATTTAAACAAGCCTGAAGAGTGTGTTGACTGACTGACAGCTGTCAATCACTGAATGCATTTTCCAGTCTCTCGTGCAAACCAGTGTTGTACTCATGACTGTGTGTTCATATATTTGTAGGCTGAAGCCAAGAAACTGGAGGACTCAACCATGTACCTGAGCTTGGCGTCCACCAAACCAGAGATGGAGGAAAGAAACCCATCGTCCGGGAAGAACACGCAGAATCTGGGCAGCTTCTCCATCAGCAAAGACTCGTTTCAGATCTCGACGCTTGTTTGCTCCACCAAACTCACGCAGAATGGTGAGACACATTGACTTGCATCATTTCCCAATCCCATTCCTGTCACTTCTCCCCATCATTTCCTCTCCTTTCTCTATTCCTCTATCAAAAAGACCACAAACAGAATAACCAGAGCTGACAAGTCTGTGTTCACAACCAGTTTACTGCAATGTTGTGACACATATCAGACTGAAACTTTATTTTGAAAGTGGACTTTATCCAAGAACGGATTAAATTTGTGATAAAAAGTGGTTTCTATATTAAGTAGCTGAAAAATAAGAGCTTGCTAATGTCAACCAATGTTATTTTAGTATCTTCAAGATACTATTATAATTTTCACTAACATTTTGAATAAGTTTATTTTTATACATCTGTTTTCATTTGTTTTGCTTCATCTCATTTTTATCAGTTTTAATATTTGTGTAGTTTTTATTCGTTAATTTCAATTTTAATTTATTTTATTAAAAAATGAGATGATGATGATTATTTTAATTTTATTTTAGTTAACATTAATTTTATTTATTTATTTAATTATTTAAACTAGTAGTTTTTTTCTTAACATTTTAATAAGACTATACAAAAACAAATATTTTCATTTGTAATAATCATCAGGATTGTATGACCAGGAATGTCTAGTAAGGTATAGTTTTTATTCACTTTAATTTGTTATTTTTATTAATTGTTTTTAAATAACATTTTATTTAAATTCATCAAGTTAAACTACATAAATAAGAAATGTTGCGCTGGCAACTGAAGTAATTTTTTTTTATTTTGATAACTTTTTCAGTTAACATTTAAAGTGACAAATTATTATTTAAAAAAATTATTTTAGTTTAGTAAACAAAGTTTTTAGTAGTTTTACTTTTGGTAAACAAAGCAATTGAGTACATTTTGATAAAGACTGCAAAAACTGTATTTTCATCTGGAACAACAAGCATCAGGATTGAATGACTGGAAATAAAGTAAGTGAGTAAATCATCAGGTTTAATTTGACGTCATCTGTATGTTTTGTGTGAGATGCTGTGTCTGGTTTGCAGCTGTGAGTAAGTGCAGATGCGGGAAGATCATTACAGTCGGATCACATACAAGATGCAGTGAAGTCCACCGCAGTCCTGACGCAATCTCTGCTTTACTCCCTCCTCTCATCTTAAGCATATGTGTGTTGCTCTATGAATCTCACAGAAACTGCTTACCCATCAGCACTTTGGTCATGCTGTAGCGGCAGGTGTGAGTATGTACGGTGGACGGCTTCATGACTGGAGAGTCCTGCTGTCGTAAATCTGAGGAGATGGTTTGAAATACTGCGGGAATGTAAAGTCAGAGATGAAGATCGCGGGGGGAATGTACAGCCATCCAAGCGTAGGACAATGAAAATATATGATAACGAATAAAAGACTGAAATGAACCAGTGTTTCTTTTATAGATCAGTCCACAACGCCATAGCAAACTAAATTGCATTGCATCTGAGTCGTGAGCTTGCAGACTAGATTGATTGTGATAAACAAGCTGGTTACAATGCAAAGACACTAAATAGACAACAGGTTTTTGAATTTAGTGGTCTTCTAGTGTCACTTGATTCATTTGAGCTGTTTTTAATGAATCTTTCAGAAAAACTCACAAGGTTTTGAATCAGTCTGATGAATGTTTATTGAATTTGTCTTCTAGTGTCAAATGATTCTTTTGAGATTGAGTCATGGTTTTTGAATCGGTATGACAAGTGGCTACTCAATGAACTTTGTCTTCTAGTGTCCAACAATTCATTTGCATTGTCTTTTAATGACTCTTTCAGAAAGGCTTACAGGTTTTGAATCAGTCTGACAAATGGTTACTGAATTAACTTTGTCTTCTAGTGTCAAACAACTCCAGCGGTGAAGAAATCACACACTGTAGCTTTAAATTAGGTCAAGAATAGTATAGTTTTATTTAATTTATACCTTACTGTTCAAACGTTTGAATTTTTTAAAATGTTTTTGAAGGAAATCCTCATCAAGGCTGTATTTGATCAAAAACACAGTAAAAACAGTAATATTGTGAAATATTATTACAGTTTAAAATAACTGTTTTCTATTTGAATATATTGTAAAATGTAATTTATTTCTGTGATGCGCAGCTGAATTTTCAGTATCATTACTCCAGTTTTCAGTGTCACATGATCCTTCAGAAATCTTTCTAATATGCTGATTAGATTTTATTTTTGTACTTGATGTACTAAAATACCTAAAACCACAACTGGGGGAGAAAAAATCCAAATGTTAAAAACACAACAAAATGACTAAAACTTCAAAATATTAATAAACACTATGATCGCATCTCAGTGATACAAAAAATGGTTCTCTTTTTTTTTTTTATTAAATGAACTATTTTTGGTCTGTTTAATATTTATTTAATATTAATATTTAATATCTGTTAATATTTAAAAGAGGAAAAAGTCTGTGGAACAAAAGAAGGCTTACAATAAGGCAAGAAGTAAGACCCGTGTAAATATCGGGTCAGCTTTCCAGCGCTGGAGAGAACTCAGGGAGTGGAAGGCCTGCGATCGGACGCCGAGGTTGCTTTATTTCTTCTCGATTGGTGAGTAACACCGTGTCTACACCGGACGCGACTGTCCAATGCATCCAACTGCATCCAGCCACGCCGCAACAGCTAAGGTCTGTCTACACTGGATGAGACAAAGCAACCGTTGAAAATCATTTGAAATTTGTGTCAATACGTCATAAATAGAATGCAGCAGCAGTTTACTGTTGGGGATTTGTCGTGCTGTGCCGCATCCAGTGTAGACAGCATCACTGATTATAATGAGTTCTATAGTATTTTGTCGCGCCGTGCCACTTGGTTTTGCTTTGTTTCACAGAACTAATCAATGCCTGGGTTGCGTACGTATGTGTGGGGCAGAGCTATCAAAATAGCTGCGATACCCTTTTGGGGTAGGGGCGTGTTTGTTTTGGTGATTTGAAATGTCAACATTGGCTACCAGAAATCACTTACCCCACCTTTAAAACACACTCCTGAAAAAACCTCATCTTACCAGATTACGTAATTTCACTTTGGCTTGTTTTCAAGTGATTGCTGGAATGCCTCATTTGAGGTTAAAAAGTCACTCGCTCCTGTTACTATGACGATGTCTATGGGAGCCGCTCAGGCAGTGTTAAGAGTCCTCAAGGGAACAGGCTGAACTGTAAAACTCTCATGAGAGTTCCCCACTATCACAGTCTGATTCATCCAGTAAGAATCATTTAACCCCTTAAAGGGTTAGTTCACACAAAAATGAAAATTCTGTCATTAATTACTCACCCTCATGTCGGTCCAAACCCGTAAGGCCTCCGTTCATCTTTGGAACACAAATTAAGATATTTTTGATGCATTCTCAGAGCTCTCTGACCCTCCCATAGACCGCAAGGGTACAACCACGATCAATGTCCAGAAACGTAACAAGGAGATTGATAAAATAATCCATGTGACATCAGGGGTTCAACCGTAATATTTCGAAGCTACGAGAATACTTTTTGTGTGCAAAAAAAAAAAAAAAAAGAAAGTTTTTATTAAACAATTTGTCCCCCCCGCGTCATCAATGTCCAGAAACGTAACAAGGAGATTGATAAAATAATCCATGTGACATCAGGGGTTCAACCGTAATATTTCGAAGCTACGAGAATACTTTTTGTGTGCAAAAAAAAAAAAAAAGAAAGATTTTATTCAACAATTTGTCTCCTCCGCGTCACCCTAGCGCCATTTTGGAGAGTATCCACTGAACGCAGACAGCGTATTCTGTTATGTGTCAGCTGCGCCACGCCATGGTGTGGATACTAGTTTGACTAGTTTCTACTAGTTTTGCCTTTACACGTTTGTATTGATGGGCGATGTGTCATATGTCTGAAAAGATCCCAATCAGATCTGTCCAAAGAGACATCGATCAAACTCCTAGGCCAATCCACTGTCGATTTATGCCTTTCCAAACATGAGGAAGGAAGATGCAACAAATGCGAAATGCGCACTGCCCCCTAGCGCGCTAGCAGCTAGCTCGATGCAGAGTTGGGAAACTATGGATTGTGAACAAATGCAATAATAATTATGAATTATTCCACCCATGTGTTAAAATTTAAGGTGTTTTGTGTAAAATTAGACACTTTTTTTATCGATTTAGCCCAATGTATATGGGAATGGGACTCTTTTAAATTCACGTATTCCTGAACTCGCAGAATGGAGAACCCTAGTGGACATATTGCCTCCCTTCAAATAAATCTCTAACTTTTTTTTTAAATGATACAAAAAAACATCTTGTTTCCCCTGTTTACTGGCACCTAGTGAAATCAAAAGAAACTTTCTGCAGGGAGATGGACCAAATAGATCTTAAATAACAGACTTTGAAATAAAAAATTAGTAAAATAAAAATCATAATTAGATTTTTTTTATGTGTTTATCATAAATTATGAAAAAATACAATAAAAAATATTAATTATTCCACACGGGTGTTAAAACTTAGGGTATTTTCTGTGAAATGAGACCATTTTTATCAATTTACTCCAATGTATGTGAGTAGGGCACTATTTTAAATTCAGGTATGCCAAAATCAGTAAAAAATCCAAAATATGCCAAAGAGTTTAAGGGATTAAAGAACATTTGTGACCGTGAATCATTGAGTGGTTCCCTTTGTCTAATCTATGAACACTTATTGATGAACTGCTTCATATTTGTCCAGATTGTCATTTTCTTCGTTTATATCATCACCGCAGTGAAATCAGTTCCTCTCATGGCTTAAGATTTGACCAGTCAGACTGAGAGCTCATGTTATTCATGTGTCTCTATATGATGAATGTTTCATGTCCAGGATGGAGAGGTGAATGTGCTAATGTGGTTTTTCTCTGCTCTCCTGTAGTTGATCTCCTGGGGCTGCTGAAGTGGAGATCCAACACCAGTTTGCTCCAGCAGAACCTCCGTCACCTGATGAAAGTGGAGGGAGGCGAGGTGGTCAAGGTACGTGTGGATCATCTGATGCACAGAAACACCAACTCACAGCTTTCATTCAGACGTCCGTTTGGATTCATGCAGACATTCGTGCTGCTAATGTAAACGTTTGAAGTTGATGTGGAGACTTGCTCTCTGATTTATGATATGAAATTATGAATGAACTCTCTGCTGCACTTCAAAGCTTTTTGATTATTAGTTTTTTTGGAAGGCAACAGCAAAACATGCTGAGATATATTTAGAAATTGCATTTCTGTAAGTGTTTTCAGTAGGGTGTGTGGTTGGGCCTGTGAAATTATAGAAATGCTCGAAATAAGCTTTCATCATATCTAACTCAAAATAAGCGTTGCAATTTAAATGTTTAAATTGTGTTCTCCATCCATAAAATAAAATATAATAAAATAATAAAAAAGCATTCCATTAAAAAAAAAGTAAATTAAAATTCAATTCATTGAAGTAACCCAGATACAAAATGTCTGAGATCATGTCATTAAAAGTACACATTCAGAATGGAGTGATTTTGTTGTACTAAATACTGTAATCAGGAAGTGGAATTGTAACCACAATCATTGAATGTCTAATGATTTCTGTCTATTGTAGAGTCTTATGTTCCTATGCAGCATATGATTTAAAAGCCCCTCTGAGATGAGGCAGAGCTCTGTTGGTTTCGTGACTTTTCCCTCAGGGATCATGCGTTTGAATGCCAGTTTGCTCCTGAAGGCGGCGTGTCTCATGGACTGATTTCTCTGGCCGTGTTTGAAGGCAAACACGCTCGAGCTGTCAGCGCTGAGAGAGATAGATGGAGGCAGAGACTCTGTGTGCTGTAAATGTCCCCTCAGCCTCCATCTAACAGGCTCTGCAGCTTTTCTGCCATGTCTCTGCCACATAAATATAAAACCACTGACTAGAACCATAGACGCTCACCGCTTTACTTCTGAGTCCATCCATCCATCCATCCATCCATCCATCCATCCATCCATCCATCCATCCATCCATCCATCCATCCATCCATCCATCCATCCATCCATCCATCCATCCATCCATCCATCCATCCATCCATCCATCCATCCATCCATCCATCCATCCATCCATCCATCCATCCATCCATCCATCCATCCATCCATCCATCCATCCATCCATCCATCCATCCATCCATCCATCCATCCATCCATCCATCCATCCATCCATCCATCCATCCATCCATCCATCCATCCATCCATCCATCCATCCATCCATCCATCCATCCATCCATCCATCCATCCATCCATCCATCCATCCATCCATCCATCCATCCATCCATCCATCCATCCATCCATCCATCCATCCATCCATCCATCCATCCATCCATCCATCCATCCATCCATCCATCCATCCATCCATCCATCCATCCATCCATCCATCCATCCATCCATCCATCCATCCATCCATCCATCCATCCATCCATCCATCCATCCATCCATCCATCCATCCATCCATCCATCCATCCATCCATCCATCCATCCATCCATCCATCCATCCATCCATCCATCCATCCATCCATCCATCCATCCATCCATCCATCCATCCATCCATCCATCCATCCATCCATCCATCCATCCATCCATCCATCCATCCATCCATCCATCCATCCATCCATCCATCCAAGTCACCTTTGTGAAAACATCCAGCGTGACTTGAGACTCGTGAAAACAGCTATATTCGGGGGTAAACATCCAGATAAACGGGATAATAATTGAAGCCTTTGAAAGCAGAGACCGTACGCTTTCATAGCCCTCGCTTTAACGTTAGCCAAAGGCCAAAGACTTAAACAAATGACAACATCTGCAGGCTTTGAGAAATGGTTTCATCATGTTTGCTTGATTTCACAATAAATCATCATGTTGCCAGACCTCCTAAATTTGGTGGGTCCGTTTATGATTGATGGGTGTAAGCGATCACAATTATGATGTGTGTTCCAATTAGTAATCTGTACAACTGAAAGGTTCTCTAGTAGGATTGATATGACTACCTGTTTGAATTGATTGTCACTGGTGAAAAACAATACTTAAACCAGCCTTAGTTGGATAGCTGGGTTCCCAGGCTGGCCAAACTTGTTTGGCTCGACTGTATTCATGGTTTTAGAGGGGTTTTGTGCACTTGCCAGATATTTATTTTATTGTATTTTTTTTCTGGAGGGATATGTTGTGTTTTAGATCCTGGTCCCCAGTATGTTTCCCGTAGACTTCATAACTGGCTTATCCAGCACAACATGGCCAACCAGGATTAAAAACACACACACACACTCACACACACACACACACACACACATACATACATCCATACATACATACATACATCCATACATACATACATACATACATAAAAACAATTAAATGTAAAAATAAATCGAAATTACAAAGTTTAAATAAGTAAAGGTAGAATAAAAATAGAATTTAAAATAAAAAGTCATTTTTATGTAAAATAGAATATTAAATAAAAAGTAAATTATAATAACATATAAAATAAAAAAATTTAAATGACATAAAATATTAAATAAAAATCATTTTTTATATGAAATATAAAATAAAACTGCCATTTCAAAATAGTTCAACATTATTTAAAATAATTCATTGGCAGGGCTCTGATACCCAGTTTGTGAGATTTAAATCAACCTAAATCAAACCTAAATGTTCATATAATTAAAACTACACATTCAGAATAGGGCATTTGTTGTAATAAATACTTAATCAGTAAGAGGAATTGGAACCATGATCTGTTTACAGTTTAAGAAGTAGTTTTGATTTGGGATAAGGCCCAACGACAGATATATTGCAATATTTCCTCAACTACGCAAAAACTATTCAAATCAGAGGTGTGTTTAAACATGAAAGTTGTCTTTGGGTGGCCTGAAAGAAGCTGCTAATTCAAACAGCTGTTAATATGCAGAACACACACTCACAGGATGACTACAATTACAGTACGTGTGTTTCTCGCACACACACACACCCCCCGATCACACGGCAGTGCGTTTATTGGCCAGACACCGAGTGAATAATTCAGCGCTCGCCACCCAGAGCGACAGACACACAGACTTCCCTTAATGTTTCCTGCAGGCGTCCCACTCAACATGATTATGTACTTTCCTCACGCTGTGTACTAAAACACCTTCCTACCACTGCCAAGTTTGGAATTGGATTTCTCCGGCCGGCGCAGACATGCGCGTGAAAGCTGTGAGGACGATGTAATAATGCTGCAGGATGGCTTTTGTGTTCCTGATAGGGGTTTCTTCAGGAATCGGCCCTATGGCACGGATCACTCACTTCACTGTAAACGCACTGGAGGAAGCATCTGCGGCAATGATTCAAGGGCACCGCAACATTTACGCCCCGTTTATTTATTATCTGACATTTGAAGGATGAAGCGTTCTACTAGAACATCTGAGGAGGAACTTGACATGACTTTGGGACGATGTTATTTAATAATCCAATGCTTAAATAAACTAAAACTAGGTTTAATGAATAAATGAATGAATAAATAATTAAATCAATTCTGTTAACTATTTTTTAAATTGGATAAATAAGTAAATAAATATACTATTTCAAATTTCTTTAGATATTTAAATATTTACATTTTACATGGTTTACTTAATTTAAATATGTAATATTACTGTTATAATCTGTAATGTATTTATGCACTACAAATAATACAACTTGTCATTGTTTCGCCACTGAATCATTTACTTTTATTTTAGCTGAGATTTTTTTATTATAGTAATATAATATAGAAGTAATATAGAAATAATTGACAACATATCTTTATATTCCAGTGTCCTCAACGTTCAAGCAGGAATGAATGTAAAGCACAAATTGTATAGTGTGACTCATGAACCAATGATTCTTATGATTCAAATGAATCGAGAGTCAAAAAGACTCTCACTCTTAAAGTATCGCTGTGAATCAGTTGAAGCAGTTCTAGAAAATAATAAAATGTTATCAAAAAGCAGTATTGCTTTTTAGTGTATTTAAATATGTATTAGATTCTTTATATTTTATGTTTTCAAACACAAAATATATATATATCAATCTGCTTAAATAAAATATATAAGTGAATTCTAAAATATTTAAAAGTGATTTATATTTGAATATATAATTACTTTATATTATTTATTTCATATTCTTTATAAAATCATTATTGGAATCAAAAATAATGATTACATTTTCACAACCTGAATTGTTAAATTCTAGTTTGTCATTCCTAGTGTCAAATATCGAACTCAAATCCTCAATTAGTTCCCATTTCCATTGCCTCCAGGTCAGTGAACAAATATCCTAGTGAATGTTATCTTTGCGCGACCGAAGCAAACTTACTCTTCACAGAAATAATCATCTCCAGCATGAATCATCTCTGTCCTTTCATTAGAATAATGCTCTCTGCATCTCCTCCATCTCCTGCTCCTTTTTTTATTTTAATTTTTTGGATTGCTTTCTGAGTTATGTGTTGTGTACACCTGACGTGAGCGGTGGCGTCTTCAACACGCCGGATCTCATCTCAGACTGATGACAGATTGACGGCCGTTATAGACTTGGACTTTCCTATCTGTTGGGACTTGTTCTGTGCTGGATATACGCAGCAGCTTCATTGGCGGTAGCGCGAGCGTTTATTTATTTCCCCTCAAGGGTACACTCTTCCTCTCGTCGCAGTGACTGTAAGCAGAGGCCACGCAGCAGATGTGCCAAACACAAAGACTCGTGCTCGTCCTCAGGTGGAGCATTTCAGCTTTTAAATTAGTTTTCACACTGAATTTGTAAGTGCAGAAATAGAGCAAATGTGCGAACAATCTTATTTATAAACCTCAGTGTGTGTGTGTGTGTGTGTGTGTGTG